CAATGATGTAATGAGTTTTGAGATCATATAAGTAGACTGAAAAGTACAAACACAGTTAGCGTGGGTAATCACAAATGTTTAATATAGAAACTAAACCAAATCTACCAGAGAGACATAGTAAACCAACATGCATACCCTCAAATGGAACAGTGAATCCTGTGGATAAGACAGACTGTTTTTGCTTTATATTAATGATATATCATTTGTAAGTTCAAACTGTATGCAGATGATACTGCAATTTATATACACGAAGATAGCATGACACAAGTTGTGAATTAACCATTTTAGATCTAAGTTTCAAATCTCTGCCTGGATATTTTTGCTTGTTTTAATTGTACACAGTTCTTTAAATGTCCTGTGAGTAAATATATTTGCCCATTTATCCATAACATCTGGAACTTTCAACATCTAGCAAGTTATTTTCGCAATTTACCGTCTATTAAAAGAGTGTCCCTGCTACAGCGGGGATGAAATTACAGTAATAACCCGATATTAGCTGGGAAAGGCAAAGTCTCCCCTTTCAGAAACTGTTGGAATTTTTCTGATGGCTTAAAGTATCGCAGAGTTACGGTACTGCAAATTTGGCTGAATCGTCGCTGTTCGGTCTGGAAGCGTTAACGAACAAACTCAATGATTAACGTTACACTACGGGTCTAAAACTGTCTTTATGTTATTCTAAAAGCCACTTAAGCCGTAATGGATTAAACTGTAGCACATTTGAAAAACAACTGCTTGTCTCACTCTGACACATTTATAAACGCAAACTGCTCCTGTTAATTAAACAAATAAAACGTTGATGTCTCGTCCTTACCAGTTGGCGGAGCTCATTGGACAGCTCCTTGACCACGACGCCGAGGCCTTTCAGCTCCTTGAACATGCTGATCAGATCCTCACAGGAGAAGCCACACACCATCTGCAGGTCTTAAAAAACACAGCTTAGGTAAGTCTGTGGCAGACAGACCTGTCACAGGAAACAAGGTATATCAAGGTTCCTGTTTTAAAACTGCTGAAATTCTTCTATGTAGCGTACAAGTTGATGTACACTTGTGGTCAGCTGGCTTAAAGTGAGCTTCTAAACCTTTTCCTTGCTTTTATGTAAGGAAAAAGGTCCATAAAAATAAGGACAGCCATGGTGTAAAAACCAAAGGAGCATCACCCATCACTATAACTAAAATAAATTTGTTATAAAATGCTGTTGGGAAGCTTCTAGCAGCATACCAACTGCTACCAGTGCATAATAATTGTCATATCTAAGATCAGTCAGATTATGTCATACGTTTTTCGTTTCACATACTTCTGTAACTACTGGTTAATATCATATCAGCCCATGTGATGCCAGTTTTAGAGCTTCACTTACAAAGATGATGAAGTCCAAGTATTACGTAGTTTTTACCTTTAGTTTTGTGTCCAGTGTACTCTGTTCTGATGGCAGAAGAGCCGTTCAGGTTAGTCACAATCATCGTCTCACTTGGAGCAGCTGAAAGGCAAAACGTCATAAAATCTCCAAGAGATCCCCATTTATTTCTATGTGCTCACTTAGTGTCGCAGCTAGTCAGTTTAAATTAATGTCAAATGTAATTAGATAAAACACAAGACGTCAGACAGATTTATACCCTGAAATTCCTCAGAGACAAGTTAACCACTTTTAAGCTTTTACCAAGTAATTGGCGTGTAAATTACAACCAAAACAACTCCCCACTTACAGCAGCTTGCTTTGTGTTGGCACGTCTGGCGGATAATGAAGAGCACTGCGCTTCTTGGACTCGATTACTTACCGCTCTGGCATCCTTTGTTGCGCAGGATCGCGTCCAGCGTTGTTCCAAACACAAACCGCACGTTTTGCAGCACCCCCTAAAAGCATCGATGTCAGAGAGGAAAAATTGTTATCAGTGCTGGATATTTCAGAAACGCTTAATTTGTCAGTCCGTCGTTCCTGAGTTGTGTGCGTAATTGCGCATAAATCCAATGTTTCGGGCGTTCTTTCTTCTAAAAACATAAGAAAACACAAGGCGTTCCGGAGTAAGAATCAATCTCCTGCGCTCACCATGAACCTGTCGTTCACTGCTCCCTTCCCGACCCGGAGCTGCGCGCTGGCCGCAGTGCCTTGCGTCAGGATGTTCTGGATGGGCGCTTCCAGCTCCACGGTGTTCACCTCCTCGCATCCTGCGAACAGCTGCGCTCGGTCCTCCTGCACGAACAGCGTGATATTCTTCCAGCCACCAGTGGCCAGGTCCACCTCCTCGATGGAAACCACCTGCTGCTTGTTCTCGGTGGAGTAAACGATATCCAGGGTGTTCGCCTTGCCGTTGGAGACGATTTCGAAGACGGGTCCGGAGCCGTCTCGCTTCTCCACGGTCAGGAGGCTGCCCCTGGTCCGTTTAAACTGCTTGAAGTTGAGGAGAAGTAGGAAGCCTTTTTCGACGTAGACCGAGTCAATCAGGTCCCTGAAGGCGCTCTCGGGGACCGGGGGGATAAGGTCCGGGTTGAGGATCTTGTAGGCGGGGCTGTACGGGTCGTCTCCTTTCGCCAGGGTGACCCCGTGGTTCTTACTGGGGACTCGGATGAGCTCAAACAAATCAAACACACTATTGTCGTCTCGACTCTCTGCGGGTGAATAAGAAGAAGCAGTAAGCTTTTGTCTGCATGAATACTAAATATTAAATCTTTTACGGCTTTTTAAAATCAATTAAATATTGGAAAATTTGAATAATCCGATATTTAAATAGTTGAAGCTCACCTGCGACTCTCGCACCGTCACAGGAACAAAGCATCAATAGCAAACATATTCCTGTCACCTTCATGGTGCAGCACAAACCTGCTGCCGCAAGTAAATTGAAATATCCGACAATTTAGGACTTAAGACAAGGTTGAGCAACGTGCAAAATATTTTTGACACTCACCTGCTCCCTTTAATGAAAGAAAAAGTTTACAAAAATATAAAATCCCTTGAAAATGTGTAAAAAATTGCAATAATTCCAACGTCCTTATTTGTGAAGTTAAAAATCCACAGTGAAAAGGGGGAATAATTAAATCTTGCTCGTCTTTTTCCTCTTTGCCTAATTGAAAATGTGCCTCCTCTGGTATCCACCGCTAAAAAACTCCCCTTTTAAGCCGAGGCAGCACAAAGTGTTATTTAAATAGTTTGATGCCTTTCCTAAGACGTGGCCTCGTCCAATCATGGTGAGGAGAGAAAAAGGGACGAGGGAGGGAGAGAGGAGGGGGACCGGACGAGGGACCTGCGTCTGTGCGCCTCAATCAGACCCTTAATGGTGCTGAGTTTCCTCTCCCAGCGCCCATCCATCACATCTCTGGGGCATTTTCACCTCTCTGAGAATGTCTCAGAATATTTCAGAACTCATATTTTCACTAATATTAGAAATTAAGCTTCTAAAAATCAACCAGAGTACGCAATGAGTTGAACAGAATCAGATTCAATAGATAGATATCTCAAATAAATATATTTTGTCAAACTTCTACCTTTGTTCAAACAGATTTGGTATGTATTTTGGGTATTTTTTTTTTCTATTTTACTTTGGTATTATGTTCTCTAATGGACCGGGGAGCTTCAGTTTCTGGGATTGCCTAGTTGCAGTTCCAGCTCCCACCACTAGGCGCCGACGTGAGTTCACAGCAGAAATGCCTGAGGCTTTTCAAGGTGGAGCTGCAGAACACCTGAACTCCTGTTTTCAATTTATGAGTTCATCGATATGTTGGTGCATATTAAATACTCTACTGAACAGAATGTTAGATGTGTAATATTTTATCCTTATTTTGTGGTGAAAGGACAAATTTCACACAAGTATCCAACAGTTTTCTTCAGTTAAAGCTGTTCCAAATCAACAGGTTCTTCTAATATTTTAGGCTCATTTTGAGCAATGGAGTTGTGTTTTATGTAGTTTATTGGGTCAAACGTTTTTGGTCTCCTTGTTATTGGAATGACCAATATTCCTAATGCCTGAGGAGATTTGATTAGGTGACTCAAAACATTTATCCCTTAGGGAAATAAAAAAAAAAATACAGATTTCTAAGGAAACCTTAATACATAACACTTAAAAAGCATGAATTAAAACACTGGACTAGAATAACAAAAGACATTTAGCAAACTCAAACCAAGACTTATTTGAAAGCCCAGAACGTGACGTCACACTCTTCATAACTCCGCCAACTTCGCCATGACGGACGTCAAAAAAAGAGAGAGAAAAAACAATACGATCCTTTAAAGCTAGTCTAAAAACAGGCGTCTGTAACCTAATATCGCTTTTATTTAGCTGATTTCGCAGTTAAAATGATCACAGGGTGCTGCGCGGTCGGCTGTACAAAACAGACAAACTAAACTTGTCATTTTATTTTAATATCTTTTAATGAGGAAAGACGCAGTGGCGATGGATAGCAGCCGTTAACCGTGATTGGCAGCCTTCAGTGTAACCGCGGATTTGCAGCAAACACTTTTTTATAAGGTAACAAGATTAACGTTCATATACTATATAAGTAAGTGTGATTAGAAAGATATCATCGCATTAGGGAGAAGATAACCATTAGTAACCATGGAGACAACGCCGCACCGTCATGTAGCCTAGCATGTTTGGTAAAACGCTAGTTAGCATCTCGTCTTTTGTATGTTTTTTATCCTGCTCCGGTTTAAGGGGAAGCGCTTTTTATGACATAGTGACATAAATCATGTGGTGTGAATTCAGGCAAAGTCGGTAATTTGATCAACACGTCACAACGTTTGTAAATATCACCGTCTATGAGCCTCAACCAGGTGTGCTACTCCCGCCCTTCACTTTCGATGTCCATCATGGCGCCTCCAATGATTTAGTGATGTAGCTGCAAAAGGTCAATAAGGCATTCTCCTTAATATGACAACCAAATTTAAATTGAATAAATATGTTTAAGATATTTAGAAGAAAGTGACAGATAAAAAGGATTAAAGAATATAAAGAACAAGAAAAGGATGAGCACCACTTCTCCTGAGCATTGACAGATAGGTATTCAGAAAGTGAAGTTCTTTGAGTTGATTTGTAAGACCCATACATCTAGGTGTGCTGTAATATGCTGAGAGCTTTGTGCTTTAATAGAGATGGAGGAACTGGATGATGCTGAAGCCTGGTTCAGATGTCCTAGGATGGAGCGGTACCCTGAGGGGTCCTGAGGTCAAAGTCAACCTGACTTCTTTGGTGCCAAAGAGTCTGTCTGGGATCAGCACCCTTCATTGAAGGCGCTTGTTTCAGCCTGTGGAGGAGAAAGTTTTACTCATACAGGTATCTTGATAGTTAACTGGCCTGCTTTGTAATACGAAAGATTTATCACAATGGATAAGTGTTAAGCAAAAGGGGCGATTTGAATCTGGTTTATTTCTTAATCTGAGCTTCTGCAGATATCAGCTTTTTGGTCTGTAAACCTGCAGGTGGAAATTACCATGTTTTTTTTGTTATAATCTGGTATCTCTGTATCTCTCATTTTAAAAGGTTAATGAAATGTTGTACATTGTCTCTATATAAATAGATTATAAACAGCATAAACGGTATTAAATCTATCCAGATGACAAACTGAATGCAAACTGTCTTCAGAGGCGGTCAAAAGGTGAACAGTTTTAAAAAGAAACGCTGAGACCATTAAGTAAATTAGAACACAAATTGTGCTTTAAATAGCAAAGAAAAATAACAATAAAAAAGAAGCATGAATGAAAATGAGCAAAAAGTAACAACACATTTTAGGCAGAAAAAGGGAGTAAATATCCACCAAAATTTTTTTTATTTAATAGCAATTTTCTTTAAAGAAAAACAACAACAAAAAAATTACATTTCTGAGACTGAAAAGTCAAAATTTTGCTATAAAAAACACAGAAACTCTCTAGAAAAAAACTTGAAAATGCATGAGATTGAAAAACTGTAAATTTTCTAGAAAACTACCCAGAAATTTTAAGATTAATATCAGACATTTTCTAGAAAAAACTGGAAATTCTGAGCTGCGAAAGTTAACTTCCGAAACTCAGAAATTTCCAAAACTGTCTGAGATTAAACTTGAAATTCCTGAGTCCTTTGACCTCAAGAAATAGGTCAAAGAGGAAAGGTATAAACAAGAAGAAAGGAAAAAAAACAGTGAAGTACAAGTATCTACACGTTATTCCAGCATTCAAATTTACGCACAGGAAATTGATGAGCTACATTTTATGACAGCTGAAGAAAATTTTCTGTGACCTCCACCCTGCTCTCTTCCTTGTTGTTGCTGCGGAGGTTCTGCTTCCTGACAGGTCGTGACCCGGCCTCAGGCTTCTTTCTGATTCTTGATCGTTTGACACACCTGCCTTCCTGCTGTAAGTCATCACCTGGTGTCAAAAAGAGGATGAGTAAAGATGAGAATTCACTGGAAAAGCACTAGTGCCTGATTGGCTGTTTTCAAGCTAAGAGGAAGTGATAGCAGGTGGAGTAATTTGCTTGTTGACTGGGATGAATTCCAGAGGAACTGGGCTGATGGAGGAACATCCAGTAAAACCTATCAACTTTAGTGTGTTTCTGTTTTACTCTAGAGTCCCTCCTTGCAGTTTATCACTGATTAGATGACCTTTTTTTGTCAGTTGCTCATATTTACACTAAATCTATTAACATTTCATATCATCCTTAATAAAAAAAAAAGGAGAGTTTGTTTTAACAAAAAAATTAGCAAAAATGGAGCAGAGAAAGAAATACAGACATGGACAGAATGAAAACAAACATAAAGCTGTTCTCTAAATAGAGAACATTATCTGGAATGTCCTCTTCAAAGCTCTAATCTTAGCTGTTCAAAAAAAAAAAGTACAGACTGCAGATTTGATGTTGCACAAACTGGAAGCAAAAGAAAGAAGGACTTTTTCCAACTGTTTAAAAATTTTAATAAACAATGACTTCAGGGCTCTGCAGCCTGCAAGTCTGGAGGTGCAAGTTACTCTTTGGTCCGTTCACAACGACTATTCATATGTTTGGCTTTCGATATAATAACAGCATGCAGTTCTGATATTCTTATCTGTTATTTAAAAAAAACACAGAAATAAAATGTTTCACTGCAAAAAACTAAATCTTACCAAGTATTTTTCGGTTAGTTTCAAGTGCAAATATCTTAGTAAACTTGAATAACACAAAACAAATTTACAATAACGTTTCAGTAAGAAATATGAGCTTGTTTTAAGGTAATAATTCTTTAATATTAACAGAAGAGTTCTAGTTATTAGTAGAATAATCAGGTAGATACAATCCTTTAAAAATGTTTTGTTCATCAATTTTAAGGATTTATTGCCTTGACGTTCTTTTATCTTGCTGAAAAGTTACTTGCAAATTTGTTTGGTCTTCTGATAATTGCACTAAAATTAGACCAAAATACTTGGTAAGATTTTGTGAATTTCCTGGAGTAGATGAGAAGTTGTCTTTTGTCAAAATTTAAATGAGTTGTTAGAGGTCAAAACTCCAGCCGTGACCTTGTTTTTTTTTGCATGATATTGGACATTTAACCAAATTCTAATAGCGTAACCACATTACCTTCAAACTTTTACTGAAGTCTTGAATAATCTCCTATATCTAAGCTTCTGATGTTCACTGTGGCTGCACTTTCTAAATGTTCCACTTGAATTCATGATGTAAAAACAGAGACATTTGCTTGCAGCCTGTACTTGGGCTTTTTTTTCACCCTGAAAATATTTTTGAAAACTGCTTAAATCATTAAAAAAGACCAAAGTTATTCTTTCCAGATGAGCTCAAAGAAAAAGAACTGACCTAAATTTCATCATCTCTCATTTTCATCACACCAATCAGTTTCTGATAACGGCCAAACCTTTGACCACATGTGCTGACAAATCAATTACAGTATCCATATGAGCGTGCGGCATAAACGAGGATCCATGTTGCACATGCGTCTGTTTCCGTCACGTTTTGGACCCGGTTTAAAAAGAATCTCAAACCTGGGCTTCATTTTCTTTTTGCAAAAACAAAATTTCTCCATTTGAATGAGAATAAGAATGCATAATTGGAAACAAAAAAGCTCTAACATGATTTGAAATAAAATAAATATTTTAATTCCTGCCTGACTTGAACCAAACACAGAAGCAAAAGCTAAACCAGCTGAACAAGCTGAGCAGCTATGACAGTTTGGCGCTTAGTTTATGTCTAGTTAAATTCCTGTTTTCACCTGTTTTGCATCTTTTTATTCCCGGATTTTTGATTTTGTCAAACCTCAAATATGCCATAACAGCGCTAGATGTTTAGCATACTGCACATTTAAAATTATTTATCTGGCACTGACTGGTTTCCACTCGAGGTCATATGACTGCAGCGGTGTCAAACTCATTTTGGTTTTGGGCCAAATCCAGATCATGAATGCTCTTAAAGGGCCGGTTGTACTAGAATGTATTGATAAAACCTGATCACAAACTGCTAAAATATCAATGAATCCTTAAAATTAAATAATATTATTGAACATTCTTTGTGTTTTTTTGGAATAAAATCTAAGTTTTTGTGATACTAATCTGGAAATATTTGCACTTATTTATGACGAGAAATGTGACTTCTTATTATTCTCTGTATAGGTCATGGATTATAATCTGACATCAATTAAAGCTGAGGTAGCTGTTTAGTACAAGTAAGACAGTTTTTGACAATTTTTGAGAAAAATCTGCAATAAACTCCCAATTATGTATTACACATTTGTTGATTTTGTGTGAATTTCCACAATAATTCTCAAGAAACTGGAGGGACAGAGATATAATTTGGCACTAAACAGATAAAAACTGCATTGATTTGATTGATAAATCAAGAGAGCCACATAAAAAGCTACGACGGACCAGATTTGACCCCCAGGGATCGAGTTTGACACGTTACTTCTGTATTACTCAAATAACTTGAAACACATTTGTGTTTCAGTGAAACAGTAAGTAAATTCTTCTCTGCGTAGTTGAACTTGTTTTTAAGTAAGAATCTTCGAATACATCCAAATAAAAAGATGACCTTTGTTTTTAGACTATTTATGACAAATACAACAAGACATGATATTCTCTGTACCGCAAAATCTCTTTTCAGCACCATTTTCAGACGAGTTCCCACCCTCTCTTTTCTCCCACTAATTAAAATAAATTAGGTCAGGATCATTAGCCACTCAGGAAATGATGCTGGCAGCAACAGTGATTCTGGTTGCTCAGTGAAATCTAAATATCTAACAATGCGTAGGAATGCTACGTTGATGCAGAAAAATATGCTCGGATGTTCTGAATCATCTAATAGTGGCTGTGCGAGTAACTGCAAAATTAATTCTTATGGGGCTTTCAGTAAAATGTTTTCCCCAAATTTGGTCAATTATCACAAAAAGCTGTTCAACAGCCGTTTGCTGCTAACTGCGGAGTTACACCAGCAGCAGTCTTGAAATTAAAACTTTTAGTTTAGACTGAGTGGGATATTGGTCTTGCATAGAGTGTATTTATTACATTTTACAGCAGAAAACAAAAAATGTGACATTGAAGATCCCAATTTGTGCATAAAACGTAGAAATAAGGCAGTTGTTTTTTTAAAATAGCCACATGGTATGAAACTGTTAGTTAGAAATTAGCAATTTCCAAATATCAATAACATTAAGTATCTCCTGCCACATATTTTGCCAGTGTCAGTTTTCCAAGAGCAGCAACTGCGGTACTCATGAGTCTCCATGGCAACCAGTTCAGTACTGGCTCAGGACATTAGCTTAGCATTCTTTATTTATAGCCGTGCACAAATTCAGTAGCTGCATCCTTCGAAGGCCAGATTCCTACGTCGATTACGTCACACCGAATTCAAAGACTCCTCCAAATGGGTACTTCTTTTCCCCATATTTGAAGGATGGGTCCGGTTTATCCTTCACAGCCCACCATATCCCATAATTCATTGCATGTGGGCGTCCAAGCGAAGTGGCAATGGCGGTGAAGAGCGGCAAATTATTTTTGCTACACTACACTAATAGTGACACCAGATAATTTTTACAACGTTTTTAGGCGAGAATGTAGCTGTGTAAGTCTCAGATATCTGCTTGGTTCATCAATACATCACCTAATTGCAATATTGCTGACATTTTCGGAGATGTGTGCTCCCGCTGCATTAACAGGCAGCTCCCCTCACCAGCCGCCCGCTGGCCAGACAGTCCAGGTTCGGACTCTCGGCACATTGTTATAAAAACTCCTGCTAGCTTTCCGTGATGAGTGGAAGTTAAATATCAATATTATTTACTCAGGTAATATCTAGTTGCAAAATGTTTGGTTTACTTAAGTATTTAGTTTATTCCTGAGCAAATCGGTTTGACTGATTAAAGTTAAGCCTTCAAACGTAGTAAGATTTATTAAACTGTAATGTCTTATCTGAGAGCTGGAGAGTATTAAATTTGTAAATGAATAATTTGAACATTTTAGAATCAAACTAACAGATTTCTTTTTTATTATGGAACAGCCATTATTACTGTTATACAACATACAGAAATAATACAGAAATCAGGAGGAATACATGACTAAAAAACAAACTTCGGCTTTGTTCTTTTTTTTTCCCGCTTTGCACTGTCATGGTTGCTAGGCAACATGAGTTATGCTAAAGCGGAGGCTAAGCAGCTAACTGAAGGCTATTCCTGTCTCAGCTTTTGTTTTCCAGTTGTTGCTTATTCACTGCCTTTGAACTTAATAGCCGAACAATTGGCTCGTAATTTTTTTTTTTTTTTTTGCCTTTGTTGGTCATATTTTTCTGGATCTGTTTCAGCTTTGGAAACAAATCTTTCCTTTTTGAGCAATTTTTTTCGTCTAGAGAGTGTGCTACAATACAACCAAAGAAGAACAAATAAAGCTCCTGAAGCCAAAAATAATCCTCCCAGTTTAAGAAACGCATTCCTAAATCTACATTCAAATTTGTTGCTGTTCTGTTGACCCAATTAAATGTAACTGGATAATATTGAAGTCAGATCAGAGAACATCAAAGGCAGGTTGATTGAGTTGAGGTTGTTTTAATAGATGTTAATGAAACTGCACTGGTCTGGATTCGCTCTAATTGATGCAGGAAGTTATTTGAATATTCGATTTCTTTCCTGGTTTTACTCTCCCAAAAGCCTCACATGTTTGGACGTCATAAAACAAATCATGTTTGGAAGTTTAAAGAGTTTAGTTTTTGTTCTCGCAGACATAACTCTAGGAAAACGTCAGAGTGGACGGCCTTTTGTGGCTCCACATTGCCAGAAACAAACAAACTGTATTGACTTTAGCGAGAAGAGCAACAGACATAGTCTACAACATTTTTGAGACCATAAAATAGAGTAGGTCACCGTCTGCGTCAACATTCTTGACATACCTTGGCGATGCAC